GTTAAAAGATAGGAATAGGAAGTTCAGAGAAAATGTGTTTTAAACATGATAATAAAATTATATAAAACCCAGTAGCTGTGTGGCCCTAGGTAAGTGACTTGACCTCTCTGGTCCTCGCTTCCCCTGACTAGGAAATACAGAAGCTGCTCAATAAATATTTGTTGAATGATTAAATTGATGAAATAATATCTAACCCATGGACCGCTGTAAAAATAAATGATTTAGTACAGATAGGGCACTTCGATTATTGCCTGACACCTAGCGGGCCCTATAGAAGTGTCGTTGGTATGTGTCGTTCAGTTGATTGTGGCTCATAGCAACCCCATGTGAAGGCTAGAACTGCCCCATAGATTGTCCCAAGGCAATCAAGCCCAATTAGTATATTCTGCATTGTACACATCCCACGCCAGGAATCAGAACACATCTTTGTGATAGTTACAGGGCTTCTCTCTGCCTGTAAACAGCCTGGCCCTGACTGTCATAACCACTGGACAGAGCTCCTAACTGCGGAGCCTATCTCACTCTGTCAAGTATGCCCAGCATGTCACCCTGAGCCTGGAACAAGGACACTTCCCAGCAAATATTTGTGGATCGAATAAATGAGCCCTTCTGTCGCCTGCTTCTCAATTTGGAGTGTGCATAAGCCTACGATATGCAGATGACACAACCTTGCTTGCAGAAAGTGAAGAGGACTTGAAGCACTTACTGACAAAGATCAAAGACTACAGCCTTCAGTATGGATTGCACCTCAACATAAAGAAAACAAAAATCCTCACAACTGGACCAATAAGCAACATCATGATAAACAGAGAGAATATTGAAGGTGTAAAGGATTTCATTTTACTTGGATCCACAATCAACACCCATGGAAGCAGCAGTCAAGAAATCAAACAACATATTGCATTGGGCAAATCTGCTGCAAAAGACCTCTTTAAAGTGTTAAAAAGCAAAGATGTCACATTATGGACTAAGTCATAGTCCATAAACACCCAAGTCATGGTGTTTTCAATCACCTCATATGCATGTGAAATCTGGACAATAAATAAGGAAGAGCAAAGAAGAACTGATGCCTTCGAATTATGGTGTTGGTGAAGAATATTGAATATACCATGGACTGCCAGAAGAACCGACAAATCTGTCTTGGAAGAAGTACAGCCAGAATGCTCCTTAGAAGCGAGGATAGTGAAACTTCATCTCACGGACTTTGGACATGTTATCAGGAGGGACCAGTCCCTGGAGAAGGGCATCATGTCTGGTAAAGTACAGGGTCAGCGAAAAAGAGGAAGATCCTCAATGAGATAGACTGACACCGTGGCTGCAACGATGGGCTAGATCATAAGAATGACTGTGAGGATGGCGCGCAGGACGGGCAGTGTTTCGTTCTCGTCTGTAGTGTTTCTGTGAATCGGAACCAACTCAATGGCACCTAACAACAACAGGCATCCTTGACTAAAGAAACCTACAGAAATGGAAGGACATTCCGTGCTCGTGGATTGGAAGACTTAATATTGTGAAAATGCCAATTCTGTCTAAAGTGATCTACAGATACAATGGAATCCTGATACAAATCCCAACAATATTCTTTACTGAAATGGAAATACTAATAACCACCATCATAAGGAATGGAAAGAAACTCCGAATAACAAAAGCAATATTGAAGAAGAAGAACAAAACAGGAAGCCTCACACTCCCCAATATAAAAGCATACTATAAAGCCACTGTAATAAAAACAGCCTAGTACTTGTTCAACGATAGACACATAGACCAGCGGAATAGAATTGAGAACCTAGAAATAAATCCAGCCATCTATGGACATCTGACTTTCAACAAAGGGTCAAAGTCCATTCAATGGGGCAGAAACAGGCTCTTTAATAAATGGTGCTGACAAAATTGGATATCCACTTGCAGAAAAATGAAACAGGACCCATATCTCACACCGCACACAAAAACTAACTCAAAATGAATCAAAGACCTAAATGTTAAACCTAAAACTATAAAGTTCCTGGAAGAAAACATAGGTGGAAAACTATGGGACCTAATCTTTTATAAAAATCGGCTAACAAACATGTAGAAACACGGTGTATGTTTTGCTGCGTATATTCTTAACAAAAACAAAATGAGAATTACAAAAAAAGATTTTATCAAAAGAGTAAACAGACAACTTACATACTGGGAAAAAAATCTTTGCAAACAACATATCCTATACAGGTCTATTCTCTAAAATTTATGGAGAACTTCAACAACTCAACAACAAAAAGACAGACAACCCAATCATAAAATGGGCAAAGGACATGAACAGAACCTTCCCCAAAGAGGACGTCCACGTGGTCAACAAACACATGAAAAGATGTTCATTACCATTAGCCATTAGACAGATGCAAATCAAAACCACAAGGAGATACCATCTCACCCCAGTTAAAATAGCACTGGTTAAAAAACAAAACAAACAAACAGATAAAATAAATGTTGGCAAGGACCTGGGTATGGGTGGGACTGAAAAATGGTACAATTACTGGAAAATGCTATGGCACGTCCTCAAAAAAACTAGAAATAGAACTACCCTGTGATCTACCCGTACCACTCCTAGAGACCTAAAAGTAGTAACACAAACGGGCATACGCACACCTACGTTCATTGCAGCATTATTCACAATAGCAAAAAAATGCAAACAACCCAAGTGCCCATCAACAGAAGAATGGATCAGCAAAATGTGGTGTATACATACAATGAAATACTGTGCAACCATCAAGAACAACGATGAGTCCGCAAAACATATGATCACATGGATGGACCTAGAGGGCGTAATGCTAAGCGAAAGAAGTCAAGCACATAAGGACAAATATTGTGTGATCCCTCTTTTATAAGAAGACAAGAATAGATATAGATAGCGAGACCAATGTTTATTGGTGGTTTCCAGGGAGAGGTGGGAGGAGGGTGGAAGCACGTTTTAGATCGTAGATACTTGTTATTTTTGGTGATGGGAAAAGTGACACCGAATGTGGGTTTAGTGAGCAGAGCATAACCAAAGTAAATCATGCTGCTGAGAAGTGCTCGAGAGAAAAGGATGCCTGTATTGAAGAATCTGACACCCATAAAATGGCAACAACTCCAAAAGATACCTAAAAAAATAAGCGTAAGATCACATATGGATGGGGATAGGCATATAGGTACACAAGTAGGTATAGGTGTATACATATGTGAGAACATATAGAAGTATCTATATGTACATGGAAACCCTGGTGGCATAGTGGTTAAGTGCTACAGCTGCTAACCAAAAGGTCAGCAGTTCGAATCCACCAGGTGCTCCTTGGAAACTCTGTGGGCAATTCTACTCTGTCCTGTAGGGTCGCTATGAGTCAGAATCGACTGGACAGCAACAGGTATATGTACGGAAATACAGACGTGTTCAGGCACATAGATTCATTGAAAACACAACTAGACACCCCTCAGATATAACCACACATCTTCTGAGATTGGTTTTCTAGCTTTGAAAGCTTTGAACTATAGTCTCATGGGACAGCTCAGTCAATTGACATGATATAGTTCACGAAGTTCATGTTCTACATCCTAGTGAAATGAGTAGTGTCTGGGGTCTTAAAAGCTTGTGAGCAGCCATCTAAGATGCAACTATTGGTCTCTACTCATCAGGAGCAACAGAATAAGAAGGTAACCAAAATCTCAGAGAAGAAACAAGTCTACAAGGCTGAGAGCCTACACTAGCCATGGTCTCATCTACCCTGAGACCAGAAGAACTAGATGGTGCCTGGCTACCACTACTGACCATTCTGACTGAAGCCACAATAGATGGTACCAGATAGAATGGAAGAAAAATGTAGAACAAAACTCAGCTGAGCCCAGAGGACTTCCTGAGACTATTGCCCTGAGGCACTCTTTAAACCTTGAATCGAAACTATGCACTGAGATGATCTTTTAGTGACATAGCAGAATGGCACACAAAATAAAAGATATCACCTGTAAAATGGTGCTCTATCTACTAAAAATCCCTCTCTAGGGGACCAAAAGGTCAACATTTCCTCTAAATCAAAGATGAGAAGATAAGGGGGCAGGGAAACTAGAGCACTGGAAACGGAACAACCAGAACCCAAAGAGAATGGTGACACGTTGTGGAAAATATAACTAATGTCACTGAACAATTTGTGTGGAAATTGTCAAATGGGAACCTAACTTGTTGTGTAAATCTTCACCAAAAACACAATAAAATATTATTAACAAAAAAAAAAAGATTACAGCCTAGAAAACCCTATGGGGTAGTTCTACTCTGTCACATGGGGTCACTATGAGTCAGAATCCACTCCGCTGGCAGCAGGTATTAACAGGGTAGGAAGGGGAGGAATAGACTTTGGGAAGGTGATCACATGAGCAAGGCGTTTTGTTTTCTTTTTTTAAGATTATTTTGAAATAATCACAAGCTTATAGAAAAGTTACAAGTACGCTACAAAGAACTTTTTTCTTCCTGAACCATGTGAGAGTAAATGGCCAGCTTGGTACCCCATTATCCCTGAACAGGGTGGTGTGTGTTTCCTACAAACAAAAACGCCCCACTGAAAACATACGTTTCCTCCTGTTGATTAGTATTACATGGGCAGGTACTTTGATGAGGCAATCTAACAACCCACACTTCCCATCAAGCTTTCTATTTCTTCATCTATTTACAGCTGCGTGGACTCAGGAATTCTTATTTTACTCAAGGGTTTATAACCTGTTACTCTCATTTTTAACGTCAATGCTCAAATTGTCCCAGATTTGGCCAGTGGGAGCCCTTCCAAGCTGGCTCTTGTATCCTTCCACCTGTCCTCGTCATTCTTTGAGCTCTTCCTTCCTTTCTAACCCCCAAAGAATGTTCCAGGCTCATCTTTATCTTCTCTGACCTCTTGGGATCAGCCATTTTTCTCCAAGCAGAAGGGCGGGCATGGGGGTTGAGGGGGTGGGGGGTGGCTGACCCCTCACATCAGATTGACCTTCTCGGACTCTGATTTCAGTGCTGCTGGACCCGGCCAATAGCGGAGGCGATGCTCGAGCTGTTGCCATAGCGACCGCGGCCGCAGAGCAAAAGGAGGCGGTGACGTCATTGCGGAGCAAGAACAGCGACCGTATCCTTCTCTTAGCCCGGCCGCTGGGCACTGAGGGCAGCCTCTAGGCCAGCGGTGAGGGACAAGCCGCCCCTGCCTGCCGGGCCCCCACCCACGACACCCCTCCTGGCAGTAGCCCCGAGGAGATCAGCAGCCCCAGCCCTTGAAGACCACGGCCAAAAGCGCGGAAGCAGCATCTTCAGACCCTCCCTGGTCGGGAGCCTCGCACCAGCTGGCAAACACCCATCTTTGCTTCACCTGCGCACGTTTAAGTCCCTGGGAATTCCCAAGAGCCCCCTCAGAAGGCTGTTACATTGGGCAGCCCAGAGGACACGGACTGAGTTAGACAAATCGGGGCTGTCTGCAGCCTCGGTGAGGCCTCACCCTTGCGTAGCCTTGGGGAAGAGATCTTGCCATCCTGGATCCTTTTTGGGATTCCCGAGGCAGCTCCGATGGGCAGCAGCGGGCGTACTGCTGCCTCCGGGAGCTGGGCAAGATGCTGTTTGGCGTCAAGGACATCGCGCTGTTGGAGCACGGGTGCAAGGCCCTGGAGGTGGACAGTTACAAGTCCCTGATGATCCTGGGCATCCCGGAAGACTGCAACCACGAGGAATTCGAAGAGATCATACGGGCCCCCCTGAAGCCCCTGGGCAAGTTCGAAGTGGCCGGGAAGGCCTTTCTGGAAGAAGATAAGACCAAGGCAGCCATCATCAGGCTGGCGGAGGAGATCAATTACTCCGTGATCCCCAGGGAGATCAAGGGCAAGCGCGGGGTGTGGAGAGTGGTCTACATGCCCCGGAAGCAGGACGTCGAATTCCTCACCAAGCTGAACCTCTTCCTCCAGAGCGAGGGCAGGACCGTGGAGGACGTGGCCCGGGTCCTGAGGCAGGAACTGTGCCCAGCAGGGGCGGGTCCCAGCGGGCTGCCCGCGAGAAAGGTCTGTGTTCCCGGGCCCGGGAAGGATCCGGGGGCTGCGGCCGCCGCTGGAGTGGACAGCGTGCCCCCTCTGGACTCCACAGAGGAGGAGAGCAAGGCTGGCGATGGCAAGCGAGGCCAGAGGAAGCACAAGAAGAACCGTCGGCGGCACCGTGCATCTGACAAGAAGCTGTAAGGTGAGGTGGGGTGGGCGTGGGGGCGTGTGAGTGAGGGTGGGTGGCATATGAGTGGGTGTGGGTGACTTCTGTGTGAAGGCGGGTACCATCTGAGCAAGTCTGGAGAATGCGAGTAAGTCTGGGTCATAATGAGTGAGATGAGTATTACTGGAGTAAGTGGGTAACGAGTAAAAATGGGTGTCATCTGAGTGAGCATGGGCAACATCTGACAAGTGAGTGAGGGTGGGTATTTTTATCTCAGCTAACTTGTGGGTTGCCTCTGAGTGGGTGTGGTTAGCACCTGGTCGAGTGTGGGTCATTCATTCATTCGTTCATTCCACAGGTATTGATTGCACACGTGTGTGTCCCAGGCACTGTTCTAGGAGCTGGGGATGCAGAAGGGAACATGCCCAACAAAAACCCCTGCCTTAGTGGCATTCATATGAAGTGGGTAACATTTGAGTTACTTGAATACATCTGAGTAGACGTGAGTAATAGCTGAGTAAGCGTAATGTCTGGATGAGTGTAGCAATTCATGGATTCCTTGAACAAATAAACCTACAGACACTGTTTTAGCACTGGGGCTACAGAAGGAACGAAACAAACCCAAATCCTTGCCTTTGAGGCACGTATATTATATATTTGAGTAGGTGTGGGTACCACATTTGAGTTACTTGCATAAATACGAGGAGCGTGGGTACCATTTCATTGAATGCGTCACATGAGTATGAGTGAGAGTAATATGAGTTCAAGTGGGTAACATTTGCGTAGTTATGGGTAACATTTGAGCGTGTGGCGGTAACACCTGAGTATGTGTGTAGGTGTTATTTGACTTGGTGAGGGTAACTTCTGAGTGAGGGAGGGTCTCAAAAACCTGCAAACAGCTGCAATAACCTGGAGACCCCCGCCGGACCAGCTGCGCAGCCGCAGTCAGAGCCAGAGCCAAGAGCGTGTGTCCTGCTGTTGCCATGGAGACCGCGGGCTGCCCCAGGCGCCTGGGCAAGCAGGTGTTTGCAGAAAATGGAGGAGAAGAAGCAGGGTCTGAGATTCCAAGGTTTTGCAGAGTTGAGGAAAAACCAAGCAGACCCAAAAAAAGAACGTATCAGGGAGATTCCTGCTCGGGAGAAAGGCCATGATCCCCTGGCAGCCATCACCCGCGGCCTGATTTGGGCAACAGTCCCCTCTGGCTGGGTTTTGTGGGTGGGGAGGCGACCCAGACCCCTCTACCCTTGGGCCCTGCTAGAAACCTGGTCATTGCAAAGTCTAGGACTGTTTTCTGTCTTTCGAAGGGATGTACCTTGAATCCACCTTGGCACAAACTTGCCCCGAGTGGGCCACCCTGGTTTGCACGTGCCAACCGGAAACCATGGCAGACTTCTGAGCTGTCTGCCTGCCGGTCTCAGCTCTATGTGACTGTCAAAAGCTGTTGTTCTCCACCCGCTGAGTCTCCTTTACGGCAATGGTCGGACTTGGGACCTTCTACCCTGATTCCACCTTGTCCTGTGGGCTCCTAGGGTGAGGGTGTGAGTCCCCCCAAACTAAACCCAGAAGCTCTGGCCAGGGGAGGGGAGGGAGAACGCTCTACTTCCTAAAGAGCAAAAGGCAAGACTTCCAGGGAACAGTCCAAAAAGAGGTAAATAATTAAGAAGTCACCTTCAAGAGTTGTCAGAGAACAACGTTAACATCCACTCAGTCCCCAAGTCCAAAATCTGAGCCCCCTGTAGTGGCAGAGAAAACAAAAAGCAAAGAAAATCCAAATGTATGTGTGTAGACAGATCTCTTGTTGGGGGTTGCGGGGGTCTGACCTGTGGATTTACAAACGCATTAGTTTCGGGATCTGCAACGGTTTGAGCTGAATTTATTTTCACAAACGTAATTCACATGTGTGCGTGCATACAGGCTGACTCAGGTTTCTTGCCTATCAAACTGTAACAGTGGAGACCTCCCCCCACCCCCATGCATTAACGTGGTGGGTGTCAGTCATGTTTGTGACGTCCAGCATCCGCATCCAACTTCCTTATTTCTTATTTCTGAGAGGCAAGCCCTACCTTAAGGTCCCCATGTGGTGCAAATGGTTTGCACTCATCTACTAACTTAAAGATTGGCGGTTCGAACCCACCCAACGGCACCACAGAAGAAAGGCCTGTCAATCTGCTTCCGTAAAGATTACAGCCAAGAAACCCCTATGGAGCAGTTCTACTCTGTAACACATGGGGTCGTTATGAGTCGAAATTGTCCTGACTGCGGTGGGTTTGTTTTTTGCTTATTTGTTTTATCCCTATTTTGCCCCCCATTTTGTCCCCCCGTTAAAGCCAAAAGGAAACCCTGGTGGCGCAGTGATTAAACGCTCCGCTGCTAACCAAAAAGTCGGCAGTTCGAATCCACCAGGCGCTCCTTGGCACCCTATGGGGCAGTTCTACTCTGTCCTATAGGGTCGCTATGAGTTGAAATCGACTCGATGGCATTGAGTTTTTGTTTTTTTTATTAGAGCCAAAAAGTAGCCCTGGTGGCACAGTGGTTAAACACTCCGCTGCTAACGGAAAGGTCAGCGGTTCAAACACACCAGCCCCTCTGAGGGGGAAAGATGTGGCAGTCTGCTCCCATGAAGATTACAGCCTTGGAAACCCCATGGGACAGTTCTACTCTGTCCTATAGGGTCTCTATGAGTCCAAAACAACTCGGTAGCAATGGGTTTTTCATTAAAGCCAAAAGGTGGAGGTTCTCTCTCTACATCTCAACCCTGGCAGCCAAGGTGCAGGCAAGGAACCCGCCCCCAGGCAGTCACAAACGCCTCTTGGGTCCTTGAGTTCCCAGCAAGTGTCCGGACACAAGGAATTTTTAGAATTCACTTGCATTGACAGGTGAATTGCTGGCCATTTCGAAGAGGCTTGCGTGTGGGAAACAGCGCCTCTGGCAAGCACTGAAACTGCGCCCTGAAAGCCCTTGAGCTGGAGAATCTCTAAATTGCGCCCCCCTCGCCCCATTTCAAAATGAACAGAGGCTGATGGCCGAAACGAGTCAGCAGAAACACTTTCCCCGCTCTTGTCCGGCTGCCTCAGTCAGGCACCTTTCATATTTGTGTCGCCTCGGAATGTCATTCCGCGGCCGGTCTGGCTCCCCCTTGGACTTTTGCCCGGGATAAATGCCCCGCTCTGCCCCCTACCCCTCCGTGCCTCTCTGTCTACCTTGCTTGAGGAAGGACGTTGGGCCTTCCCGGGTTAATAGAAACTGCTCAGCGCCTCCGACCCCACTTCTAGCAGTGGCCAGGCACGTGTCATACCTGCCATACTTTAGATACACCTAAAACCTCAATCATTTATTTCTATTTCCCACGTTGGTTCTCTAGCACCAGCCTCCACATCCTTTTATTTGTGCAAAAGTCGGGATAAAACTATTCCTGCCATTGCCACACATGTATTTGAACTTGTTGTAAGTGCATTCATGATGAAGAAGCTTGTAACTCTGTATACGGTTTTGGTTATTCCTTGTAAATTCCCACCTGGCATACTCACTCACAGAATATTGAATTACTGCATTCATCATCCACCACAGAGTGTGACCTTGAATAAATTTCACGCAGGCCCGGGGCACATTTGTTTGTTACATGCTCTATTCCCACCGAGGCATAATGGTTGTATAGTAACAAGGGGCAGTGTGACATTTCTTTTTGTCCTATTGCTGTATTCAGACTCTATTTGTGTTCATTATGGGTTTCCGGATACAATGTCTATATTTGTGATACGCAAAGTATGCAGCTGTTCAATGTTGCCCACGGAAGCAAAATTTCATACCACGTCTCTTCCGAGTTTTTCTGGACCAGTTGAAGAGGTTCCTGGGACTGCAAGGCAAACTGTTTCAGAAAACCATTGCCGCTGGAAGCTACTTATCTATGTGCGTCAAGACGTCACTGATACAACACATCTCAAACAACACTTTATGAAGAAATTGGATGTGTTGGCTGATGACAGGCTGCCACTGGCCTTTGTAAAGCCCTGGTTTCAAAAGTGGGTTCAGTTAAAACCCTTCATTGTTCTTTGTGGTTGATGCGATATTGTACAAATGTGAACTTATCAAATAAATGTATGCTAATGACATCATAGTCTGTTCTTTGATATGTTGGGAGCCCACTGAAGATTCAGTCTGGAGAAAACATCTGGCTGCCAAAAAAAAAAAAAAGTTTTGAAAAACACTTCCGTGGGTTGCCTGAAATTTTCCAGAGCTGCATTATTTTAAAAATGGATGTTGGAGTCTCTGGGTGGCTCAGTCAGGTAAGTGCTCAACTACTAACTAACAGGTTGGAAGTTCAAACCCACCCAGAGGCACCTCGGAAGAAAGACCTGGCGATCTGTTTCCAAAAGGTCACAACCTTGAAAACTCTATGGAGCAGTTCTACTCTGCACACATGGGGTCACCACGAGTTGGTTTTTTAAATCAGATCTCAGTAGGCAAAGAAGACACAATTCACACAGCTTTCTTCTATCCTGTGGGCTTCTCGGGTCTCGGGCTATTTTCCAGCGGCCAATGGGAGGGAAAGGTAAACAGCTTATCTGGAAGAAAAACAATAACGATTACCCTGAGTTCCAGGCACTGTGCAAAATCCTTTCATGCTCATTAGCCCCTTACATCCTCATGATATCCTTGTTATTAGGAACCCTGGTGGCGCAGCGGTTAAGTGCCCAGCTGTTAACTGAAAGGTTATCAGTTCAAACCCACCCCTGCAGCTCCATGGGTTAAAGACCTGGCAATCTGCTCCCATAAAGATTACAACTTAAAAAAACCCTATAGGGCAGTTCTACTCTGTCACACGGACTCACAATGAGTCCGAATCAACTCGACCGCACCCAACAACAACATGTCAAAGTTATTATCAAGGTTTGGCACTCCAGGCTCACAACCTGCCTTAGTTTCTTAGTGCTGCCATAACTGAGGAAACCCTGGTGGTGTAGTAGTTAAGAGCTACGGCTGCTAACCAAAAGGTCCAGCAGTTCGAATCCCCCAGGCGCTCCTTGGAAACCCTATG